AATAGTATTAGGACAACTAGATAGCCAAATGCAAAAGAATGAAATTGACCTCTACCTCACACCATATACAAAAATTAACTCAAAATGGATCAAAGACCTAAACATAAGAACTAGACCTATAAAACTGTTAGAAGAAAACATAGGTAAAAAACTCCATGACATTGGATTTGGCAATGGTTTCTTCACATCATACCAAAAGCATGAATAACAAATGAAAGAAAAAAGATAAATTGGACTTTATCAAAACTAAAAACTTTTGTGCTTCAAAGGACACTACCAAAAAGTGACAATACCACCCACAGAATAGGAGAAAATATTTGCAAATCACACATCTGTAAAGGACTTGGACCTAGAATATAAAAACACTCACACAACTTAAAAAGATATATAACTCAGTTCAAAAAGCAACAAAGGACTTGAATAGACATTTCTCCAAAGAAGGTATACAAATGACTAAAAGCACATGAATTGATGCTCACCATTATTAGCAAGGAAATGCAAATCAAAACCATAAGAAACCATTTCACACCCACTAGGATGGCTATAATCAAAATGTCAGTTTATAATAAGTATTAGAGAACATGAAGAAATCGGATGGTGGAAATGTAAAATGGTTAGGCCACTTTGGAACCAATTTGGCAGTTCCTCAATAGGTTAAACAGAGAGTTGACATTTGATCCAGTGATTCCACTTTTAGGTATAAATTCAAGAGGAATTAAAACATATGTCCACACAAAACCTTTTACATAAGTGGTTATAGTAGCATTCTTCACAATACCCAAGTGGTAGAAACAACTCAACTGTCTGTCATTAATGGATAAACAAATGTGGTATATCCACATTATGAAAAGTTATTCAGCCATAAATTGAAATAAAGTACTGATCCATGCTACACAACATGGATGAAACTTGAAAACAGTATACTAAGTAACAGAAGCCAGACAAAAAAAGATCACGTATTATAAGATTCCACTTACATGAAGTTTCTAGAATGGGCAAATCTACAGAGACAGAAAGTTGATTAGTGGTAGCATCAGAGGTAATAAAAAAAAGAGGGAGAGCTGAAAGTTATGGGCATTCCTTCTTAAGTGATAAAAATTTTCTAAAATTGTGATAATTGCACATATCTATGAATATACTAAAAAAATCATTGTACACTTTAAATGAGTAGACTGTACTCGTATGTATGGTATATGAATTACATCTCAATAAAGCTGTACCAAAAATAAAAAAGAGAAATCTATGCTCAAGTAGAGTATTTAAAGTATGGCCATTGATGTCAATTTTCTGGTGGCTGTTTTTATTATTTTTTAACATATATGGGTATGAATTTGCATCTATCAAAATCTGGTAGTTTTGTGATATTAAACTAGCAGTCATAATTAGGGTTCCCTCCCCTGCAGTGAGGGGTGGGGGATTTATACAAGTTACAGGGGTGTTCTGCAGTCTAGAGCATCAGGAAGGGTATCTAGTCCTTGGTCTATACTATTTAACATTGAAAAGATCCCAGTCTAAGCCTGCACAGGCTAAGGTCCTTTGAGTGAAGTTGGTTCTGCTGCTTCCCTGTCCTGCTAGAGATTGGGGAACTTTGTGGAAGCTGGGAGTCCTGGGCTCAGACAGTCATTTCTTTTTAAGCTCTTTCTACTTCCTGAGGTACTGTGAGACAGCCGGGCAAAGCTCCTCTTCCTCATGGCATCTCCAAAATATGAACCTTTCTAGTCTTACAAGATATCCTTTTCTGTTGGGCCTGCTCCTTTTACCCACTACCTTAAAATGTTTTTCCCCATCTTCTACCCTTCTGTGGGATTTCTGCTTCCAGCAATGACAGGTCTGCTTGCTTAACACCATCCCTCTTACTGAGAACAGCCAGACAAGCTAGGCAGAATTGAAGAAATATTTGTTTGAAGGCACTGGAAAGTTTTTAAGTGAGAACTCAAAACAGCCAAATTCTAAAGAGAATGTAAGTACAGAGAGATGAACCCATCCTTAAGCATTGCTTTTCCCTTTGATATATTTGCTGATTCTTAATCAGCAACCAAGAGGGCAAGAAGCTGAGGAGAGCTTTGGGCAATCTTACTAGGCTGAGATAACAAAAATTGGTGATCAAGGGTCACTAAAGAGGAGGTGCCCTGGTAAACACCCCAAGCTTTCATTTGGCATGGTAATCTGTTACATTGGTGGCTCCTTAATGAACCATACCTTAAAATAGTTATGCCTTTTGGTGGTCCTCTTCACATTGGCTTTGGGCTTGGCCATGTGATTTGTTTTAATCAATAGTACATCAATAAAAGTGACACAGAGAGAGATTTGATAAGTGTGTGCTCACAGGGCTTTGTACTTCTGGAATTCTCCCTCTTAGAACCCAACCTCAATGCTTAAGGAAGTCCAGGGTATCGCAACCAGCCATATGCAGAAGCCCTGGAGGATGGAATGTTATGTGGAGAGAGAGGCCATGTGGAAGAGCACCAAAATGCTGCCAGCCAAGCTCTCAGGTGAATGGAGCTTTATGAGTGATCTCAGCCAAAACCAAATGGACCAGAGGAGCTGTCTAGTCAACCTAGAGAACTATGAGAAATAGTACACCATCGTCGTTTTAAGCCACAAGTACTGGGTTGGTTTGAAATACAAAACAAAAACAAAAACAAAAAAACAAGCAAACAAACAAACCACCTTGGAACCCTAAAGAATGCTCAGATTAAGGATGAACCAGAGTTTGAGCTCTGAGCAACAGCGGTTCGAAGCCAGCCCGAGCTGAGCAGCCGCTAAACTACCAATAGGTAGCAGGATGGCTCAGCTAAAAAAAAAAAAAAAAAAAAAAAAAGGATGAACCAAACATCAGCAAACTCTCACAAAGATTGGTCTGGCTTTAAAAGGAATGTAAGAACTCAACAGGTAGAGTTAACAGCAAATGAAATGTAGCTGAAGAAAAAAACATGTGAACTAGAAGAGAGGACAGAAAAAAATCCAGACTGAAGCACAGAGACAAAAGTATAAGAAATACAGAAACAAGCACAGGACTCAGATGAGACTCAGTGATAAGAACCTCACATTCACATAACTGAAGTCCCCAAAAGAGAGGAGAGAATGAAATCGAATATATATAGAAATAATGGCTAAGAATTTTCCAAGCTAATGAAAGACTTCAAGCCACATATCTCTACAATTTCATTGAAGATAAACACAAAGAAAACCACCCTGGACACATTATAGCAAAACTGCCAGAAACCAAGAAAAAAAGAGAAAAAAATTGTAGATTGGATAAGAAAACAAAACTCAATTCTTTTTTTTTTTGGCGGAAGGGGGGGTATATTATTAATATTTTTCTATTTATCTGAATCACTTCAAAATAAAATACTTTTAACAAAGAAGCTTATTTCTCCCCCCCCCAATCCTCCAACCCACCCTCCCTTTGGCAACCATCAGCTTGTTCTCTGTATCTAAGGGTCTGTTATTGTTTTGTTTGCTTATTCACTTGTTTTTTAGATTCCGCATATAAGTGAGACATAGTATACATCTTTCTCTGACTTATTTTACTTAGAAAATACTCAATACTCAATTCTTCATTTTAAAGTGGTTATGTAGGAAGGCTGATAGGTCTTATCTCCTAACTGGATTCTCCACCATTACTCTTCCTCCCTTCTAGACCATTCTCCACATTGCAGATAGGTTGATCTAAAATTTAAATAACACCACCTGTCTCCTCTACATAAATGTTTCAGTGGCTTCCCACTCCCTCAAAATAAAGTTCAAACTTCTTACCACAGTTTAAGTGGCCCTCTCAGATCTGGTGTCTACCTTTCTAGATTCCTTTCTCTCTACTACTTCTCTAAAACTCTACACTCCAGACATACTCCATTGGCTTTTTAATTTCTCTAAATTACTTTCCGTACACTGTTCCTATTCTTTGGAACTCCCTCCCCTCATTTCATATTCCTTTTTCCTGGCTTTCCTACTTTCTATAAGATTATAGTTGAAATATCATTTGATCTTGGAAACTTACCAAAATTCCTAGATGGGGTAATTTACCCCACAGAGAGCAAGAAATTTGCCCCTTACATCCTGAAATTTCCCTATCAAAGCACCTACAATACTTCATGATTATTGTTTATTCATCTATCTTCCTATAACGATGGTCAGCAGAAACCATGCGTGCCTTGACTCCTTAGTCCTCAGCTTGGCTCAAAATACACACCCAATAAATACTTTGAAATTACTTATTAATATTAGAAAACTCTCATTATCTTATTTTCAAGACAGCCCATCATACCTCTCTTCTAAATCTCGCAATTTTTTTCTTCTAGAAGCGTCTACAGAAGGATAACTGTGAATTGATTGTGAAATATTTTTGTCCTTTTAACATTTTCAAGATTTTACTGCAATAAAAATACAAAGCAAAAAATAAATACAAATGTAAGTATGACTATTCATACCATAGGCTTCTCCCCTACTATCCCGATTCAACAGTTTACAGTGCTCACTTGCTTTCTTACATGCAAAAAAGTATGATTACACTAGTTGCATCCTCAAATGACACTCTGGCTTTTTAGTCACTCCAAGATCCGGTTCATAAAGGACTTCCTTGTTTTTTTGTTGCCTTGGTGGCTCCTTTCCAGTTTTATCACAGAGTTTGTTTTTCTCTGCTTCCTCTCCTCAGCTCAGCACAGCTTCCTCTATCATGTTCTATAAACCTACCACTGTTGATGAAGTCTTTTTATGTGCATCTGAATTGGTCAGCTCTGTCTCATTACCTCGAGTTCTATTTAGAATTTTAGTGGCAAACAATTTTTTCACGTGTTACTTCCTCACCCCTTGTAACTCATTTATTAATTTGGTCACTGACTTAACTCTTGAAAACAGTGGATGAAACTGAATACCATCACCAAATTTCGTCTGCTTTGTTGCATCACTAGTGCGAAGAATAGTACCTGACACCTAATCACTACTCAGTGCATATTTGTTGAATAAATTAAATACCTTGGCATGTACTCTATGACAGGCTGCTTGAGATGATTTACTTTTGTTCTTCATTCGCGCATACCACAGATAAATATTTAAAATGTCATTGAGTATCTAAAAGTTGATAACTTAGTAAAACTTTATTTCAATATACATTGTGACCAGATCCAATTATTGGTATTCTTCCTTAGTAGGTTTCTTTTGTTTTTGTATAAGAAGGATTTGTTATTTTTATTCACAAACTAAAAGACTTTATCTCCTTTGGATATTTAGACCTAGTCTCCTGTCTATAATCTAGCCTTTAAGCAGTACAACAAATACAGCTACTTCATTAAATGTAAATAGTGATAAATTCACCCTGTAAATCAAATTGCTTTACAATTTACATTTAGAAATTGTTTACAAATATAGGTAGCAAGTACCAGGCAAGAGGGGCTCATGGTCCAGGAAAAAAAGCTACTAACAAACAGATAAAGAGTACCAAGAAAATTTCTCAGTACTGCTACTAATTTAAGATTTGGGATGGTGGAGATTTTAGTGACCGCTGGTTGGCAACAGGCGGGGTTTGAAGGAATGAGAAAGGTTAGTTGGTGGACTTCAGGGTTCTGGAAGAAACAGGGTGAGGGCATTCGGAGATGACCTAAGTTGGCAAGTGCGCAGTGAGATAGGAAAAGGCATCAGGACCTTGGGAGAAGGTGGGGAAAGACACCAGAAAAAGCACGGATTAAAGAAAATTGAAGGGGGAAAACAGCAAGCACCAAAGATAAGATGGTGGACTGAGGGCTGTAACGCTCAAGGTGCAAAGAGAAAGCAAATAAAGCAGGCCTTTAAAGGGAAGAGGCATGCTCAAAAAGATAGAAGCGAACAGGGATGGAGTCCCCTTCACCAAAGGACAGAAACAAAGAGGGACTCCCGAGCCGAAGGCCGCAGTGGCGTGTGTGGTGGGTGGGTCAGCAGCAGGTGGAGCAGAGCCCGAGGTGCTCGAGTGCGTCTGGCTGTGGAAGGAAGGAGTTGCAGTCTGGGTATTTTTGCGGAGGTTTTCATAGAGAGCACTGGAATTTAGAGTTCACGTTGTAAAAATGTATTTCAGACTCTCAGGGTATTTTCAGCGTTGAGAGTTTGGTCGAGTTCGGTCAGGGCAGGTGATCAGTCAGTGTTGGCTGGAAGATTCAGAAAGGGTTGGGAATTTTAACCGGTTTAGGGTGATTTCAGTAAAGGGACTTAAGTGCGTGGAGGGAAATCTCAGCTCGGGTGGGTCGAGATGCCTGGTTTGGGCACGAATTTATGTCGCCGCTGGGGTGTATTTCAGACGGCGTGGCCGGTGAATGTCCGTGGGGATCGGGTGCATGTCCTTCAGTACCGCATTTCAGGCGGGGTTGGAGGTGGATTCCAGTCGCCGCGAGTGAATTCCATTCAGGACGGGGTGCGTTTCGTACCGTGCTGGGGCGAGCGAGTCCAGGGCAGGGTGTCCAACGGGGGCTCTGGGGAGGTTCCGGGTGCGAGGCGGGGGGGAAATGCCGTCAGTGCCGCGCAGGATCCACGGCAAAGGGACTTCGGGGACGTTCCGCGTTACGAGCTGCACTTCACTCCCGCCCCTCCCGCTCCCGGGGGAACCTGTTGCTGGAGAAATGGGCGGGCGGCGGCGACGGCGACGGAGGACCCTCCCTCGCCTCCGCCCGGGCCTCACGGCGGCCCTTGCACCCTAGAGATATCCTTCGGCAGGGCCCCTTCCTTTGCTCCTTTGATTAAAAAAAGAAGAAAAAAAGAATCACCCCCACCGCACGCCGGTGAAGGGCGAGCTTGGTGGTGGCTCGTGCCGCTTCCGGGAGCGGAGGCGCGGCTCCGCGGGCAGGAGGCGGAGGAGGAGGCGGAGGCGGCGGCGGCGGAGGAGGCCAACATGGCGGCGCGCAGGGCTGGGCCGGGCCGCCGCCGCGCCTAAACGCCGTACCACCCTTGCTCGGCCTGCGGCGCCCACGCCTGCACCCAACCTGGCCGGGCGGCTGCGGAGGGCGCAGGCCAGGAGCGCAGGGGCCCGTCGGAGCGCGGGGCAGCGCGGAGGCAGTGCCGCGCGACCGGCCAGGCCCGGCACCCGCAGCTTCCCCGCCCGCCTGCCGGCGCGACCCGAAGGCCGGAGCCATGGAATCGGAGGAGGAGCAGCACATGACCACGCTGCTATGCATGGGCTTCTCGGACCCTGCCACTATCCGCAAGGCCCTGCGCCTGGCCAAGAACGATATCAACGAGGCAGTGGCGCTGCTCACCAACGAGCGGCCGGGCCTAGACTACGGCGGCTACGAGCCCATGGACAGCGGCGGCGGCCCCAGCCCCGGGCCTAGCGGGGGCCCGCGGGGTGACGGCGGGGGTGACGGCGGCGGCGGCCCCTCCCGCGGCGGGAGCACCGGAGGTGGGGGCGGCTTCGACCCCCCGCCCGCCTACCACGAGGTGGTGGACGCCGAGGTGAGGAGGGGCAACCTGACCTCCGCGGGAGAGGCCAGTGGGCTGGAGGGGACACACCCCACTGGGCTTGGAGTGCGGCGGGAGTATGGGGCAGGGGGAGGCACAGAGAGAGAGAGTATGGACGCACCGGGCTCGCTAGGGACGGAGGTCACCGCACTGGAGTCAAGCGGGAAGAGGAACCCGTAGGGGACGGTCTGGAAAGGAGTTAGGGATGCAGGGCAGGGCTGCGCGGCTGGGTGGAGAGGGGTCTCAGGCTGCGGGCTGAGCACGCCCAGGTCGGGCATCGGCAGGAGGGTCCACAGCTAACATCGCAGATGGGGGCAGACAAACATTAGCTTGGAGTCTGTGATGGGGAGGACGGGTGTAGTGGGGGTCAGAAATGGGGTGCTAGCAGACTAGGCCGAGATTTTGTGGCACCGGGTTTCCGTGAATGAGTTGGGGGAAGCACCAGCTTCAGAGTCAGAGAAAAAGTGGGATGGGCCAGCCAGAAGAGTGGCTTTTGCTAGGGTCCAAGGACTACTGAGGTTAGGAATGGAGCTTGGGTTTTAGCCAAGGACCAGAAAGAGAGGAGATTGGGCAGGATCTAAAATGAAGAGGGACTGGGCAGCGGCCAGAAATGACAGGAATTGATACGAGGTGGGAGAGGGGGCAGTAAGTCTGGGTTGACCGGGGGTGGGGGGGGGGTGGAATAGGCGTTAATAAGGTCGGATATTATTAAAGCGGCGGGGATTGGACTGAGAGGTTAGAGGTCAGAGGCCAGGGCAGGAATTGGAGCTGAAGAGGGTCTAGGGAGTGATGTGGACTGGAATGAGAGGAGGAAGCCGGGACCAGGTCTGGGGAAGGGGAGCACTGATCATAGAGAAGGTAAAGATATGAGGGGAAACTATCCTGGGGAAGTAGTTGTATGCAGAGGGACAGGGTGGGAGAGGAATGGGAGTGGGGCAAGCTGTTAAGGAGAAAGGGCAGTCTAGGGGAATGGCTTTGATATCAGATCTCAAGTCTGGGTGGAGAAAATGAGGACTGTTTCGTTTGGGATGTGAGCACAGAACATGGGAGGAAAAAATAGACTTTAACTGCAGTTTACCAAATGATGAACCAAAAGCAACATGGCAGCTCATAGCAGGAATTTTGGTCAGATTCATTGGATCGTGTATGTTAAAGGGTCCAGTAGAGCAGGTTGGCTTGATCACTGAAGAACACAGAGCATGGATTAGTGGTGTGTTCTTAAACAGAGATAGGAATTTGGGTAATTCTTAAGGAAGCTAAGCCTTCTGAAAAATTCATTCCTAAATAATGTTATATTCTTTTAATTACATGCTTTTGCAGCAGTTGCTTGGACTGACATAGCTTGGGAAAGAAGGTGGCATTTTACAAAACCAGGTTTCTTTTCAAGATTTCTTTGGTTTCCAGACTTCCATACACTTGATTGATTGCCTTCTGTTACCCAATAACCCAGCTGTATCATTAATGTGTGGCACTAAAGATTGTTATTTCTAGTTTGGGAATTTAAAAAAATTCCATATAATTAAATAACTGTACTTAAGTCACTTTAAAAACGAGAATTTTTGGAAGCCCCCATCACTCCTCTCCTTGTTCCTTCCAGTTTTTTTGTTTGTTTGTTGTTTTGTTTTGTTTTGTTTTCCTTCCAGTTTTGACCCAGTTTTGAAATCAAGAAGAAAGTCATGGAGTTTTCTGAAGGCATTTGTATAACTCTACAAAGCTCAGTGTATCCTCATTTTGTGAGAAATTTTATTTTTTTGTTACACCTTTTAATTTCTTTTGATTGAAAAATTGAATTAAATTGTAACGCTGAGTGGTACTTTACCATTAACTGTACTGTCTGTACATTTAAGTACAAAGAGTTGGGACTGACTTCTTTTCACATGATTACAGGCTAAGGAGTTTGCTTTTAGGTAAAATCTGTATACTTTTGAGGAGTTGTGTCAAGTTTTCATTTCCTCTTGACCTGTCAATTTGGCCTGGGGAGGCTGCACCATTTAATTTTGAGAGTTCAAAAGGGGCTGGTGACTGACACTGCTTTACCCAGAAGGATATTTGCAGGACTACAGGCAGACACTTCCTGGTACACAAGAGCCTGGTGAGAATGTTTAACCCAATTTTTGGCTCTAGTTTTATAAACCATCTTCCATGCCACCTGTGCAGCTTGTTGGTCATCCTTGCTGTAGACAGTAGGAAACAGGCTTTGGATCTTGGGGAGTAGGGAAAGATGCTAATTGTTGTTGAACTCCTCCTACAGCATGTCACGCGCTGTATTAGATACTTTATATAGTTTATTTAATCCTCAGTGACATAGTTAATAATATCACTATTTTAGAGATACAATTAATTGGTGGCGGAGCCTGAATTCAAACCCAGGCACCTCTGACTTCAAAGATAGTGTGTTTTTCACTCTGCTTAACTAATGGTTTTAGTATTAAATTCATTTTAAGATAAGGAAAAATAAAGAAGGAAAGAGACAAATTCTGAGGCTACTGTAGAAGTCTAAGAATGATGTGGCAAGCACTGAATCAAAGCATTAGGAATAGAATAATGGGTGAATGAAAAAAGAATCATAGGGTTTTAAAGCAGAAGACTTCAGAAATTAATCATTAGTTCAGCTGTATTGTTTTACAAATGCAGTCTTGTGGGCCCCAAAGGGGAAGTGGCTCATCCCCACAGAGCCAGTTAATGGAAGAGATGGCACTAGAACTCAGGCCTTCTTGCTGCAAGTCCAGAGCACTTTCTAGCTGCCTTCCTTTCAAAGGAAAAAGGGACAAGACTCAGTAATGGGTTAAAGGGAAGTGTAACAAACTGGGTGAAGTTTGTCAGTTCTTGTGTGTTTACCCATTTTATATTTTATAAAAATACGAGTACCTTATTTTAAATTATATAAAGCTTTATGTGGTGCATAGGAAATTTCAATTTCAGTGTCCTCTTAAAAATGTTTGGGAATATACAGATTAAAATCTGATTGTTAAAAAAGAAAAAACGCTCACATTTATTTTATATGTGGAGTTTGGGGGCAGGAATGACCCTGTCATTCAGTAAACATTTAATGCCTTCCATATTCCCAGGCTGGGAGTTAAGAGTGATGAACAGAACCATGGAGGTTACATTCTAGTGGATCTTAGTGCAAGGCCTCTCATTTTACAAGAAGTGATTTCCCAAGGTCATGTAGCTAGTTAGGTAAGTCGTTTAATAACTTGGGCCCATGCTATAATTAGGATTTGGTTTAAAAATTAAAATTTGGAAAGTAAAAGCAATTAACTTCTGTTTCAATAGAAGCAAAGAGGATGCAGATTAAAAAGACCCCGATATCTAGCAGAACACATAGCTGCACAGAAAGCCTCTTTTTTAATATCTTCCAATTAAATAAAGATATTGCTTTGTAGAAAGTTGTGTTTGGTTGTTACTAGTATTGTTAGATGTAGATGTATGTGTAATTCTTGGTCTCTGGGCCTGGAAGGAACTTCTAGAAGCTATTCAGTTTTGATTTTGAATAGCGTTTCTTCAGAACCTTTCCGCAGAACCTTTCCGCGGCAGATAAGAGTCTGTTCTAATATTAAAGACAGTGAGATCTCACAGCTGCTCTAAATAACTTATCCAGATGTTTAACACTCCCACTGTCAGAATTCTTTACTGTTTCTTATATGGCTTATGTAAACCCCTCTGGCCAAGGGCATGCCCCATGATTCTGCCCTCCATAGAGATGGGAGAGCTGATCCTTTAAGAATTGTGATCCTGTCCAGGGGGCCAGTAGAAATTAGAACCAGGTACTTTTTGGGCAGTTTATAAACTTTATTTGTGAAATGTACTTTCTTTATTATTGTCTCCTTTTTTGTTTTTAGAATATACTAAAATGGATTTTTTTTTTTGCAAGGAGATTTCAATTCACAGCTAGAAATAGCTTTCTGTGATCATTAATATTCTTAGAAGTGATATTGAATACTGTGCTCTAACAAGTATTGCCAGCTTCTTGTTTTGTTCCTGTTTTAAAATGGACATTCCTTCTGGAATTTTGTCAGAAGTGTTTGTAAGATTTTATTGCTTTTTTGTTTTTTAAGAGCCCCAAAGTTGGTCCTGCTATAATAGATCTAAATCGCATAAAAATAGAACACATTAATTTGTAGTTCTTTAACTCATTTTTTCCTTTTTTTTCCTTTGCTAATAAGTGGTACTTATAAATGAATTAAAATTATAATACTATCAATATTTGTATTAAGGTTTATAATAAAATTAATTTCCTTTTCTTCCAAAAACACACAATCCTAGTATATTTGCGGAGTAAATATCAAGTAAATGTAATGATTTGAACATGTGACCCATAGTTTGTGGTTTACTCTGATTTGTTAAATTTAAAAAAAAGTCCATTTAAAGGTTTTACAGTAAAAAATAAGATAATTCCAAAAGTCAGTTGAAAGTAGATGAAATAAAAATACAACAGAGTCTGAAAGATTAGTATAGCCTAATTTTTGAAAGAAAAATTTCTTTATAATTTAGTATATATATGTCTCCTTTGGGCATTAGCCCTATGAGCTCATCTAACAGTTAAGAGTCTTACCTGGTAATTACCTGGCCATAAGCTATAAGAATGAATGTAATTTGGCATGATGGAAGTACCTTTCATGTGTCAGTGAATGTGTAGGTCTAGTGAAATCATAGTAGGTAGTGACAACTTTATACAGCATAATAATGCAATTAGCTTAGAATTTGAAACCAATTACAATATTAGAAAAGTAAATGTTGTAATGTTTTAACAATTTGAGTAAAGGGTTTCAACTTTAACAACTTCAGTAGCAGACGTCAGTGTACTACATATTTTTGTGCTTAATGCTTAATATCGTGTAACATTTTACTTGAGTCTGAGTGTGAAGAGGAAAAAATATCACTTTTAGTAAAAACTATTATATTTAGAAAAATTTAGTTAAATAATACTTTTCATATCTGGAGCTCAGTTTTCCGGGAAATTTTTTATTGGAACACCAGAGAGAAATAGGAAG